GTGTGTGTGTGTGTGTGTGTGTGTGTGTGTGTGTGTGTGTGTGTGTGTGAGAGAGAGAGAGTTAAGCCCAGTGGTCAACCTGATGGTCTGTAGAGTGTCTTTTGAGACAAACCTCTAGGCAGGTCAAAGAAGCCATTTCTAGACTAGATAAGCAGACGTGGACAGACCTCCCCCCTTCTGTGGAGATCTATGCCATGGGCTGGGGTCTCACACTGAGTACAGGGCATGGAACCGAGCACCGCCCTCCATCCCTTCTGCTCTCAGTGGGTTGTAGTATAAAAGCATCTCAGACTTTTGCTGCCAAGATTTCCCCACCGTAACGTGCTGCGCCCTCAAACTGTGAGCCAAATAAACTCTCCCTTCCTTAATTTGCTTTTGCTGTGCATTTTGTCGCAGCAATGAGAAAAGTAACTGCCAGACACTGTGGTGCACACCTTTAATCCCAGCACTTGAGAGGCAGAGGTAGGTGGATCTCTGTGAGTTCGAGGCCAGCCTGGTCTACATAGAGTTTCAGGACAGCCAGAGAGAGACCTTGTCTCAAAAACTGAGAGAGAGAGAGAGAGAGAGAGAGAGAGAGAGAGAGAGAGAACTAGCACAGTATGCTTGTTGGCGTCTCTGGCATACATGTAGGTTCAGCTCTCACCATCTCACAATACACACAGCACAAGCCAACAAAGAGTTTCCCTGAGCAAGCATCTCCAGAGATATCCTGATCCATAGCTACAAAAGAAAATGACTGAAATAATAAAGAGAACCGGAAGGGGACCAAATAGGAGGAAGGGAGAGGAGACAGCATAGGTGAGGTGGACTCCTGAGCCCTCTTAACAGAGTCCACGTGGAATGGCTACACAGACTAAGCACCAAAGCGCAGGATATTCCGAAATAACCAATGAGATAACAGACCCCATAAGGTTAAAGGCGGTTACCACAGTAACCAAAATATATATTCCCAGATATGGAGGTCATCTGCCATGTGACCAAACAATGTTCAAGGTTTGGCACAGGAGACACAAGAAGGAAGGGTTTAATTTTTATCATCTTCTTTGTGCTGTTTGAAATTGTGTGTGTGTGTGTGTGTGTGCGTGTGTGTTTGTCTGCATACACTCACATGAATGTGCACCTGAGTGTATGTACCACATGTGTGTAGGACCCCTGAGAGGTTAGAAGAAGGTCTGGTCTCCAGCAACTGGAGTTATAGACAGCCGGGTGTGAGCTGCCACACAGGTGCTGGGAATCAAGCCTCGAGCCTCTGAAAGAGCAGTGAGAATTCTTAGCCATGAAACCAGCTCTCTGTGGCTACCTTTTCCCATGGATTTGGAGGCTGAAACTCAAGTCCTCATGCAAACAAAGCAAGTACTTTACGATTTGCGCCATCTTCCCAGCCCTGAAATCATTTTGGACAAGTAAGTACCTTTCATAACTTTTCACACTAAAGAATACGCTGCCAAAAACCCAAATGCAAACAACACAGATTCTCTCAATTGACTTTCTCATCTCTGTGACAGAAGACTTGGCTGAATCCGCCTCACAAGGAAAGGCCATATCTGACTTGACCTTGGAGGACATTGAACCCAAGAACTTTAAAATGACCTCAGCAATAACAGTCTCATCACCTCATTCTGGGAAATCATGGTGAAAATATCCAACAGGTGATTGGATGACAGCCTTCGGCCTAACCCTGCTGGAGGACTTTTCCTGAGAGCCCACTTCCCACCGTGAGTGCATTTGCACACGGGAAGGGAGCACATGCTGGGTGTCCTGAGCTGTCCCCTCCCGCTTTGTTCCCTCGAGACAGAGTCTTTTACTGAACCTGGTGGTGGCCAGCAATTCTGTCTTTGTGCCGGATGGTGTTCGGATATAGGGGCCCACAACCACACACAGCTTTTACGTAAATGCTGGGATCTTCATGCTCAAACAGCGCTCTTATCCATGGAACCATCTCTCTAACCTTCTCTCCTCTCTCTCTCTCCTTCTTCCTCCTTTCTCTTTTTTGTTTGCTTGTTTGTCTTTCTGTTTGATTTTTGGACGCCAATTCTTGCTCAGGAGCCTCAAAATTGAAATCCTCCTGCTTCAGTCTCCCAAGTGCTGGGATCACAGGTGTTGCACTTCCATGGGAGGCTCACATCCTGCCTTTAATATCCGTCCCCACTGAACACTCCTCCTCCCTCCGCTTCAGAGAGTAACGCCAACACCGACAAAGAAGGAACTATGAACTGGGGGCTTGCCTATGTGTCCACACTGGATCAAGCTCTCCCTTCTCAGCAACCAAACCGTCACACCTTCTGGAGAGGTCTGGCTGGCTCGTATTATGACGATGCTATTGAGATCAAGCAGGTTGTATAATTTGCTCAAGGTTGCACAGGAAAACGGAAGCAGGATGGGATGCGACCCCAAGGCCATTCTGCCCAAGGGCCTTAAGCTTTGGTCGCTACCATCTACCACATCATCAATGCTAGCAGAGGAAGAAGAGCAAGAGGAGGCAGCAGAAGTCAAGGGGATAATACATCATGTATTCTTATCAGCTCTGACCTTTTCCTGTAGAGGTGTGAGCTCGGAGCATCTTACCCATGCTACAGATGGGGAAGCCAAGGCCGGAGGAAACAGTAATTTACCAAGACACAGTTGGGACTAGGAAGGCCTAGATTCTAACTAGGTAGGAGGCAACCAGAGCGCATGTGGTCCTAACCAGAGTGCTCTGGACTTCCAGATGAGCATTCTTTCGGCTAACGTTCGTTCACTGTGTGCACAGCCAGGAATCAGCTACAGGGCAACCCTGTGTGCGTCTTCTCCCCCGACCCATTCCCAAACCCCCCCCCCCCCCCCGCACTTCTGTGACCTCCTTCTGTGTTCCTACCTCAGCTTCCCTCTGTCCTGCAGAAACATCCCCTCAGTACTCTGTGACCTGTACTCTGTGACACAGAGTACTCTGTGACTCTGAGATGGTCTGGGACTGTTGTGTGGCCCAGGCATTAATAGCCTGGAAGACTTGTTTCCAGGAAAAGAGCTCATCAGGCAATGCCTCTGGGAAGAAGACAGCTTAGGCAGACATAAAGAAAAAGGAAGCAGGCACTTCCTTTTTAAAAATAACCCTTTAAAGCTCGTCTCTTTCAGCTCCTGCACATAGCACACCTTTCTAGCTGTCTTCTTCACCCTGTTGGGCAGGCTGCTGCCACCCAGCTGGTGGCAGGGGCAAGGGGAACTGTTTGACAAATGGCCCCTCATTGTCACTTGTCCCCTCCCTGCCAATGAAGAAGCAAGTCTCACCTTTCCTTGCACAGGTCCGCTTTGTCGCCAGGAGTCTGGGCTCAGTGCTGGGACTCTAACTCCTCTTTTCTTCCAGAGCCCGAGCTCCTCCCCCGAAGTCCTCTTGGCATCAAGACAATAAAAAGAGCGAAGTCCTTTCAACTCAGTATTTTATTTCTTAGACACCATAAGGAAGTGAGTTGGTTTTTCCCCCCTAGAGAGCGTCACAAAGGTGTGGGAAGAGACTGAGCCATGGCTCCTTTTTGCCGGTAGATCTCCCAGATGCTCCCAGCCCTAGGACGCTGTGTGCTGCAGCCAGCTCCCCTGAGGCAGCATCTGACAGTGGCTTTAGTTCACAGTTATGATCACAGGTGGCCTGTGCCTTACAGGCAGTATGGATGTGACTGAAATAATTTCAAGGCAGGCAGGTCAGAATTCAAACCTGGATTCTTATTCTTCACCCTCTCCCAGCCTCGATTTTACCCTTCTCACCTGAGAAATGGTAGCAAAATCTCCTCCAGCTCCTCAGTATTGACAACACTGGAGACAAATAGGACTTCTGAGTCTCAGTTTGTTTCTAGCCACCCATGATTAGATCTCCCAGAGAGAAACCACAGCTATGAGGACACTTGGCCCTCATGTAGTGCTGCCTCTGAGAAGGAAACATTCAAAAGGAAGAGAAGAGATGGGGTTAGCGGCACAAGTCTGAACTCCTAGCATTTGCCAGGCTGAGGCAGGAGGATGTCAAGTATGAAGTCAGCCCTGAAAACATAGTGAGAAAGGCCCTGGCTCATAAACAAAACAAAACAAAACAAAACAAAACAAAACAAAACAAAACAAAACAGGGAGGGGGGAGAAAGGAGGGAGGGAGGGAAAGAGAAGAGAGGGAGCAAATGGGGCCTATACTTCCTGTTCCTAGCTTGCAATATTGTCATCAACACTGAAATGAAAAGTAGGGCTAGGACTGTCACATAGTTAGCGGAGGCTATCTAGCACGCACAAAGCCCTGGGTACCACCCCCAGTGACAGATAAACCAGACAGTGCACACCCCTGTGACCCCTATGACCTCTGTGACCCCGGTGACCCCAGCACTCAGGAAGCAGAGGCAAGAGCATCTGGAGTTCCAGGTCATCCTTGGTTCCATATCGAGTTTAAGGCCAGACTAGGATGTAAGAGTCCCCGCCTCAAGTAAAATCACAATTAATTAACGTGACTAAAAATAAAGTCATGGGGCGGAGGGAGATGGCTCAGTGGTTAAGCCCACTTGTTATTGCAGAGACTCTGAGTTGGGTTCCCACACCCACTCAGCTCCGGGGATCCAACACCCTCCAGGCGCCCTGCACTAATGTGTACAACCCCCACAGACAAATTCTCATAAATAAAAATAAGAATGAAATCTTGAAGGTACACCCCTTTAATCCCAGCATCCAAGAGACAGAGGCAGGCAGAACTTCTGTGAGTTCAGGGCCAAACCCTCTCCCCATTCCACACTAGAGACGCCCAAGTTAACCACACCCATCAAGCCCCACCTGGTTTTGCCTTTCTGGAAACCATGCCCCTTAGCCTGGAGCTCTGCCCTAGTGGTCGCGGTGGGCTGCTGCAGACAGGCAGGGAGTTTCATTCTTGGCTTAGACACCTTCGGGGTTTTCATCCCCGCGGCAGGGTAACTTTCTTAAGGAAGGAACTCGACCTCACAGATACTCTCTTGCGAGCTGCAGTTGGGACGGTACTTTTCCGGTACCACAGAAGGCCAGCGCTGCTGCCGCGGTGATTAGATTGCCCATCAGGGCCCGGAGCCCCCCTACCTTCCCAGCTTTCTCGCACCACACCTACGTGACTCCCAACTTCCTTGCGTGTGCCCACCCGCCTCACCTGGGCGCAGCGCCTCCCTCACATTCCTCACTCATCCTGTGTTCCCGCTGCCGGCAGGGACCCGGGACTGCGTGCTGGCGGCCCGCGGTGCCGGTATCCAGAGACTGGTCACAGTATCCTTGACATCCAGCGGGTCCCTGGGGATGGTTGCTCTGGACAATTGCGGGTTCCGGTGTGCATGCACTGCGGTCTCCTATGAAAACCCTACCCTCCTCCTGGCAGATGCCACGCGCCACGGAGTCCCGAGGGGATAGCTTTGGGCTGGCGCGACTAGCTCCAAAGTGCTGCCGGCCTCCCTGCGGGATCCTAAACAATGCAAAGAGAATAGGGAGATTCATCAGCAGACACAGAACCCAAACTACAGTGAGAACCCGCCACCCACCGCTAGAGGGACGCTGCAACACACCAGCTGGCCCAGTGGAAAACAGTCTGGAGAGTCCTCCAACGCTGAAATAACAGTGGCCTGTCATTTTCTGGATTGTACCCCCATACTCCACAGGGACCTCCAAATATGTGCACATCCCTGTTCTTCCCAGACCGTTTTAACGGAAGCAGCTCCAACGTCCACCCATAATGACCAAGAAAAGTGACTGGGGGTGGTGGCCAGGGCTGTCATCCCAGCAGGAGGACCTCTGTTTCCAGGACAAGCCCCACTACTTAGTGAAACCCCGCCGAAGACCAAGAAGCAAAATGTCAGCCAGGCTTGGGGCTCAGGCTTGTAGTCTCAGCACTTGGGAGACCAAGGCAGGAGGTTTGCTGAAAGTTGAAAGCAGCCAGAGCTGCAGAGTGAAGATGTCATAAAACAAAACAGAGAGGTTTTTAAAATTATTACATTTTATTAATCAGAGGGTTCACGGGAGTATGTACGGAGGTCCAAGAACAACACGCAGGAGTCAGCTCTATTCTTCCATCGTGTGGGTCTTGAGGTGAAGCTCAAGCTATCAAGCCTGGCAGCAAGGACCTTAACCTGCCGACTATCTCATTGGCCCCATGTTGTTAGCTTTTGGAGACAGGGTCTCAAGTAGCCAGGCTGGCCTGGAACTCACTATGCAGCTGAAGATGGCCTTGAACTCCTGATGAGCCAGGACTACAGGCATGCTTCACACACGGCTTGTCTTTAACAAGGGATTCTGACTCTAGGTGAGAGGAGCCTGGCACAGCAGCTTGGATGCTCTGAGCTGTACTCACGCAGGAAACAGACGGAAGCTGAGTTTTGGGGGCGGGGGGGGGGGGGCTAGTGCTTCACGGATGAGAACATTCTGGACACAAGCTGTACAGCACTGCGGCTCTCCTCCACTAGACATCATGAGAAGGATGAGGAGGTGGAGTCGCCTGTCATTTGCTTTCCATGACTGTTTAGGAAAGGCACAGCGAGGGGCTGGGGGTGCAGCTCAGGGGTGCGATGCTCGCCCAGCACACACGGGGCTCCGGGGCCTGCCTCAGCACCACACAGATGCCCTTCTGACTACTTCAGTGTACATGTGCCACAGGGGTGTCAGGATCTTGGACCATCTCCCAAAGGAAGCGACGTGTCGGCAAACAGTCTCTGCTTGCTCACTTATCTCAGGGGATACTAAGAGCTGCTTCTGAGACCTAGAAGGTCATGATCTGGTTTTAGAGTTCCACCCACACAAAGGGAGAAATGCCTACATACTATACGTCGTCTTCTGAGCTCCACGTGCCCATGCAGACACACACTATAACAAAAAGTTCTAAAGTGGGGGCTGGAGAGATGGCTTAGAGGTTAAGAACACTGGCTGCTCTTTCAAGGGTTCTGAGTTCAATTCCCAGCAACCGAATGGTGGTACATAACCATCTATAATGAGATCAGGCACACATGCAAGCATAATAAATAAATCTAAACACCGAAAAGTTTTAAAATGTAAGCACGTTTGTGTTCATTGAATCATTTTTTTTATTGCCCCATGGCCAGGCCTGGTGTCACATGCCTTAAATCCCAACACAGAGGCAGGGAAGGCAGATTTTTTGTGAGTTTGAGGACAGCCTGGTCTATAAAACGAGTTCCAGGCTAGTTGGGACCACATAGTAAGACCTTGTCTCAAAACAAAAACAAAACAAACACACAGATTAAAAATAGAATTAAATGCCCCCCCCAGCTCTGCCTAAATATCCTCAGTCGGCTTGACAAAGACCATAAAGTACAGCACGACTTGAAAGGTGGTAGCTCTGGGTGACAAAGGGGGTTTGACTGGGTGTTTTTCAAGAGAAGCTGTGAAGTTCCACAGCAGCCAGAGACCAGATTCCTCAGAGACCCAACAGAACCCCCAACCTCCTTTGGGAGTGCTCATTATAACCAAGATACTGTTCTGGTCTGCCCTCTCCTGGGATAAGTTGCTTGGCTAACACCCCCCCCCCCCCAAGGGCGCCTATGCCTGCTCTCTGGCGCCACCTTGTAGCCACCCGTGAGGCAGAAAAGGGGAGGCTTCATTCATCAAGGAAGGGCTTTAACCTAGACTACGAAAGCAGCCGGCCCAGTCTAAGAAAGACGCTCACTGGTCAAAGAAGCTCAGACTAGAAGCCCACCTGGCCCTTGATGTCATGTACTCCCTCAACTGACAATTCCATGAGATGGCTTCGTGACTATGGAAACTGAACTGTGTGCAGAGAGGAGCACACGAGGTACAGTCCAAGCTACAAGTGAGGCGGAGGCAGGAGGATGGATTGCTTGAGCCCTAGGCTCCCAGCCCAGCCCAGAAAACATAGGGATATGTTAAGTTTAAAGACATGCAAATCTAGACACTGAGAAGTAGATTCTGACAGGGACAGATGGATCCTGCCTAACATTGCCTGCCCATCAGTAAACCGAAAGCCAGAGCTGTGGTCGGATCTGCATGGCCTCAGGGCCATATGACCTACACTGACGCTCTGTCGAGCTGTGGATTTTCATGAACCTGGTTGGCTGACATGGCTGGGTCCATCAGAGAATCAGGACTCCTGAGACTCCCACACCCCTCCTTAGGATAAAACCCTCTCCCAAGAGTCAGCACAAAAGGACACTGGAGGCTCACCAAAGGCTGTGATTCCAAGAGGAACCTCACAGCCATTGAAAGCACTGGACAGTCCCACTTATTTAATGCCAGCTTATAAATTAGGACAATTGTCTTCAAATTAAAGGAGCTCGGTGCGTTAGAGCACTTGCTGCAATCTGGGGACTTGAGTTCAAATCCCCAGCACTAGGCCTGGCATTGGTGCATGCACACCTGTAACCCT